TGTTCTGACAGCACCTGCAGAAGAACCCCCTTTCCCTGCAGGGTTCCACTGTACCTCCACACTCAAAGTGTTTTGTCCTGCCTGATCCATTCTGGTCAGGCTGCAAAACTTCTTAGCTTCCAGATTCCCAACATCTACTACCACACCCTGGTAAAAGGAATTAGCAAAATACTTAAGACTTGTATGAATTCTTTGTTCCTCGGTTACCACAATACTACAATTCACATAACACAGACTTCTCTAATCCCTTAGGACACACTGATTTGTCAAGTCTGCCTCTCCAGCTAATTTAAAAGAAATGATCCTTCTGCAACCAATCATTTGAAAATATACCTTCTTAATTTATATTGGTGCAGCTTAATATTGAATGATTTCCCTACAGACTTATCATTAGTAAAAAAAAAAAAAAACACCCTGTCTACTTGCTATCCTGGTAACTACTAGACTCTCATTCAATTTTTCTTTTTCTCAAAAAAAAGTAGTAATTATAAATACTGACTCATAGTCTCAAAGGTTTAATGAAAATAATGACATTTACCAGGAAATGGAACTATGTTTTGGGGGATTAGGCAAAGGGGGAGACCACATAAATGGAAGGAGAAAGAATGAGCAAATGTGGTCATTATATTCTATGTACAGTATGAAATACCAAACTGCGGAACTTGAGGGTAGAAATGGGAGGGTAGAAATGGGGGAGAATGAAAGAATGGGTGACACTGATCAAGAGTATTGTACTCATAGCCTGACTTAAAAAGTTGTAACACCTTTGTGCAACTATTTAATAATAATAAAAAATAGAAATAATGTAATTTACAAATGAAAAGGAAAAGATGACAATGGGCACACATAATTCACAGAAAGCAAAATAATAAAAATAACAAATATAGATCACAGAAATGCAAACTAAAATACCACATTTTTGTCAGACAGATTATCAGAGATGAAAATAAATTGCCAGAAGGAAATAAGCATTCCCATATCCTATTAACACATAATTTTTTTAATTTTTGTGTTTAAAATCCACATACACTTTTGACCAGTTTTTTGTTTGTTGTTTGTTTTTGTCAGTTGTGGGCTTAAACTCGGGGTCTGGGAGCTGTCCTTGAGCCTCTTTGTGCTCAAGGCCAGTGCTCTACCACTTGAGCCACAGCACCACTTCTGGTTTTTGAGTGATTAATTGGAGATAAAAGTCTCACAGGGACTTTTCTGCCTGGGCTGTGATCCTCAGATCTCATCTTCCTAAACAAATAGGAATCCAGGCATCAGCCACCACACCTGGCTGACCAGGCTTTTTGTTTGTTTTATTTTACCTTTGAGCCATGTCTCCAGCTCTAGTATTTCATTTCTAATAATTCGTTATGATAACTGAAAAACTGACCAATCTCAAAATTTCATTTTGGCATTATGATATACCAATTTGTCCAACAAAAAGAGGTTGGTTTAATAAGTTTTAGTACATCTAAAGATTATTATTAAATCACTTCAGAATTTTACATATTAATAAACCTGTTTTATTAATAACACATACTCACATAAAAACATACCTGAATAGAAAAAAATCTAGAAGTATACACCCCAAAATGTTAGCAGTAATTATCTCTGTAAAAGAACAGTGGAATTTTTGTGATTTTTTTCTTTTGTTTTTTACTTATCAATGCCAATGTAGTTTTACTTCAGCAAGAATGGGTTGCAGAAGGACATTAACACATTCGAGAGAGAGAAAGCACAACTGAAGATCACACATTCATGACAGAAAAAATGCCATTATTGTAACAAAACACAAAATATTTCCATGTTCCATAGCACTTATTAAGGTGAGGCAAAGCCAATATCAAATATCTTAAAGGTCATCCAGTACCCTAGTTTTTAATCTATTTTAGGAACACACATGAAAGGATCTGGCAGGACAAGAGAAGTGTGCAGTTCTTCCAACATTTTAGGAAAAGACATCCCAAATCAAAACTTAGAATCCTACAGACAGTGTTGAAAATTACTAGTAGGCTGAGAATGTGGCCTAGTGGTAGAGTATTTGTCTAGCATATATTAAGCCCTGGGTTCGATTCCTCAGTACCACATAAACAGAAAAAGCCAGAAATGGTGCTCTGGCACAAGTGGTAGAGCACTAGCCTTGAGCAAAAGAAGCTTAGGGACAGAGCCCAGGCCCTGAGTTCAAAAACCAGGACTGGAAAAAAAAAGATAGAAGGAGGAGGAAGAGGAAAAAGAAGAGAAGGAGGAGGAGGAAAAGGAAGAGGAAGAGGAGGAGGAGGAGGAGGCAGAGGAAGCAAAGGAGGCGGAGGAGGAAATCACTAGTAAAAATGTCAGCTCTTTCAAGGTAAGGATCACCTCAAATACCCTTTTCAGCTCAATTTACTTTTATCTCGAAAACCCTCACTCTCCCAAGAAAGAAGTTACCATGAAAATCATAAGGATAAAAATCATTCCAATTTCAAATTTAGATTTCACTAAATAAAGAGAAATTACTTTTTACAAATTCTATTCCCAATTATGTTAACCTTTCAACTTAGTTTTGGTTGGTTGGTTGGTTGGTTGGTGTGTTTGGGATTTTGTTTTTGTTTTTTGTTTAAAAAAAAAAAAAACAGGGTCTGGCTATATATAGTATAGGCTGGCCTAGAATTCATGAGTCTCCCTGACCCCCTGCATCCAAGTGATGGGACTATAGAAATGCATCACTATGACTTGAATATTTTAATGGATGAAAGTTCAGTCAACAACAAGAAGCAAAAAAGGGTCCTTAACTAATCCTAAAACAGTTGTGTTTTACACACTAATTATGTATATCTCTAGGTACTATGTACAATTTCTAACCTAACGCCAAAGAACTGCCTGTTATAGTGTGGAACAATCTCTACAAATTGTGTATAATGACTAATTTCAATATGATCAGTAAGTAGCAAATTAGTACAACTGCATCAATACTAACCCATATTATAGTTTTCAATCAAATTGGCTGCCATAAGATCCATAATTATTTCCAACAATCTATAGAACATGAAATAAAGTATTCCAATTGCATCCCCTAATAATGTCAGGTTTCCACAAAAAGTCATTTAGTGGCAACTTCACATCTACAACAGTTTTCAACACTAGTCTCCTAACACCCTGCTGATCCTTCCAATGAGATTTGGTAGCAGCATCCAAGGTAGAGGAAGACCTGAGCAGAGTACAAGCTAATATTCCTTTAAGCCTCTACTAAAATTGTCTTAATGAAAACATCTTTTACTATACAAGGAAATTTTCTAAATAGGAGAAAATCAAAGAACAACTTTACATAAAGGAGATTTTATTCTATTTTTTTTCTTTTATAGCAGCACTAGGACTTGAACTCAGGGCCTGGGTGCTGATGCTTAGCTTTTTTACTCAAGGGTGGCACTCTACCACTTGTGCCACACCTCAACTTCTAGCCTTTTGCTAGATTTTTCGGCTGGGAAGACACCTGTATAACCTAAGCACTATAAAATACCAAAACTTACAACACAATTACATGGATACTGTGGAAAAATAATAGACATCTCTTTGCTTTAGTGATAACCTTTGCATCATTCACCCATTCATCAGTATTACAAACACAACTATTTACATTATTTGCTATAGGACATGGAAATACAAAAGTAAAAGAAGCAAAAAAAAACACTCTGTAAAGCTTACATCGAACAACAGAGATAGGTATCAAACAATACAGTCATCCTTCAGTATCCATGGAGGATCAGTTCCAGGACACCCCTCAAATACCAAGATTTATGGATGCTCAAGCACCTTATATAAAATGCAGCATGCCTATTGGTTTACACAAACCTCCCATACTCTTGAAATCATTTAGAGATTACTTATATCTAATAACATATAAATTGTTATCCTGTCTTGTTTAAGGAATGATACATTCAATTTTTTCCTATGTTTTCAACCTATCATTGATTGAATCTACAGGTGCATTACCAATGGATGCACTTTCCATGGACATGAAGGGCCAACTATAATTGATTTGAATAACTTAGAATATCACAATCCTGTTAAAATATACTACCATAAACTAGGCCTGTGGTCAAGAGAGCCAAGTATGGAAAGATGAAGAGAGGTTCAGGCAGAAGTAGACTGTGCAAAGGCCCTGGAACTGGAATGGCCCTTCCAAAACTAGGAACTAAGTCAGTCCAGATATACTGAAGTATTTAGATTATTTCTCCAGCACATATGAAGCCTGATAAGTGTAAAGATATCAGAATAACTGCAAGAAGAGTCTGGCATTCATAAAAGAAGCCTCGACAGGTATAAAATTAGAAGATATTGGCTTAAAGATGGAACTCTAATGGAGCATGAGGCTCATCCTTGGAAGGAAAGGGAGAGATTATTTTCTCAAATCACAGAAACTAAATTAATTACCTCTCTTGATTTGCAAACAAAAGAAAATGAAGCATTTTGTAATACTATACCTCCAGTACAATATTGTTTATTCAAGAAAGGTAAAATTAAATATATATAGTTCTTACAGAAATGCCAACAAACTAAGGAAAAAATACTTTCGGTGAGCCTATGTGGTATTTTATTATATGGCTATAGAGAATTTATTTAGCAGGAAACTTTCTTTTGGCCTTTTTCAATGCCCTAGAAAAAGAACCTTTTTTTAACACACTGACACACTACTTCACAAGATTTGTCACTAGGAATGCTTTCAGTCTGCAGAACTGCCAGCCACTGATGCTAGACTATGACCACAAGCACTTTGAACACAAGTCCTGAATGGATTTGACATTTTAAAAAATCTTTTGCTCCCTACTCTGAAGTTATCTACTTTCAGAACTATCACTCTTTACCTTAAACCATCAGTCCTCAATAATGACTCTACCTAAAGTATGTAACTGTTAACAATACTATATAGCATGTAACTTCTCTTTATAGAGTGGTCCGGTTACAAAAGAACTGACAACATTTCCACAATTTATGACCAAAGCATCATGTAAGTATGACATGCCTTAAAACAAACTCACCTGATTTATTTGAAGCATGTTAAGATAATATTGGTCAAACTGCTATATACCTCACGGCTCCAAAAACTGGAAAATAAAAACGAAATAAAGTTCAATTTAGTTGCTAATCTCAATCACCAGATAATACTTTATTTATATAGCTTGATTAACCATCAAATATAAAGGAGTTGATCCAGACCAACATAGAACTTTAATAAAAATGTTTCATACCTGGATGGTCAATCCAATAGCTAGTCACTAGCCATATCTGGCCACTAAGCAACTAAAAGGTGACTAGTATAACCAAGGCAGTAAATGTTTAATTTTTCCTGAATGGTAATTTAAACTTAACAGGAAACTGGGTTGGACCTCAAGGCCTGAATTTACAAGAGAGGCTCTTTACCACTTGAGCCATGCCCCAGCCCTTTTTTAGTTATTTTTCAGATAAGGTTTTACATTTTTGCCGAGGGCCAGCTTCCAGTCATAAACATTCTATATATTGCTCCTCCACAGCTGAGATTACAGGTATGTACCACCAACAGTTAGCTTAAACTTCATTTGTTTTTGCTTTTTTTTTTTTTTTTTGCTTTTTACTTAAGTAAACTTGTGGCAACTTCCAGACAATGAATATCTAGACTACTGAACAAAATCCCCTCTGGATCTGGAGTTCTAAAAACTCTTGTTTTTTTGTTTTTTTTTTTTGTCGGTTGTGGGCCTGAACTCTGGGCCTGGGCACTGTCCCTCAGCTCTTCAGCTCAAGGCTAGCCCTCTACCACTTGAGCCACAGCGCCACTTCCGGCTTTTTCTGCTTATGTGGTGCTGAGGAATCGAACCCAGGGCCTCATGCATGCAAGGCAAGCATTCTACCACTGAGCCACCTTTCCAGCCCCTAAAAACTCTTGAAAGAGAAACTGTGAACAAATCCAAATCTTTCAGATAAATCCTTAATGTATACTGCCCTTGCGCTAGCCACGTTTTAAACATCCTTGTTCCTCCCAGCTGTACAATTTATGTTAATCCTAAAGAAGCTTCAACACAGACAAGTATTCTCTAAGGTGTTAGATTTTTTTTTTTTGCTTCTACTTTCAATATAAACATATATGTAGCCAGGCGCTGGTGGCTCACACCTGTAATTCTAGCTACTCAGGAGGCTGAGCTCTGAGGATCATGTTTCAAAGCCAGCCCAGGCAAGAAAGTCCACAACACTCTTATCTCCAATAAACCACTAGAAAACCAGAAGTAGTGCTGTGGCTAAAGTGGTAGAGTGCTTGCCTTGAGCAAGAGCTGAGGGACAGCGCCCAGGCCCAGAGTTCAAGCCCCATAACCAACAACAACAACAACAACAAAAAAAAAAAATATATATATATATATATTTCATGTGTACATGTGCAGATCCTGGAGCCTGAGCACTCACCCTTCCTTTTTTGTGCAAGGCTGGTGCTCTATCACTTGAGCCAAAGCTCCACTTCCAGCTTTTTGCTGGTTAACTGGAAGTAACCAGTAAAGTCTCATGGACTTTGTTGCCTAAACTGGCTTCAAACTATAATCCTCAGATCTCAGCCTCCTGAGTGACTAAGATTACAGGTTACAAGCATGATAAACTCCATTACTAGATTTGGCTTTACTACTTTCTAGGCTTGTCTCTCTCTCCTTGGTTGTATTTCTTTGCATGTGATAAATCCTTTCAATACTTATACATAGATGCCAAGGAAGACAAGAAAAACCCAAACATAAACCATGGCTTTCCTAATGGGAATGCACATAAAATATAAATCAGTACCTCCCCCACAAAAAAAAAAATCATCAAGCTACCAACACAGAAAGAGGGCTGAACCATTTCTTAAGCTGGAAAATTTTAACAATAAACTTTCCTTCAGAATCATACATGTGTATGCACACACACACATATTTGGATACCATTTTCTCAAGACAAATGAGACAATTTAAAACAATTGTGAAATATTTTGCTATTTCTTACAATAGTGTCCTCAGCATTGGTATTAACTTTTCTTTTATGTTCTTTTATTTCTTTTCTGTTTTCATATTTTCTAAGAAAATAGATCCTGTAGGAAAAAAAATAAGTGGTACTAGTAAATTTGAAGTTTTGCCCAAATTCTTCAGATTATCTTTTAAGGCTTGGACAAATTATTCTATCTTTGTTTCATTTTTTTTCAGTTTTTAAAGAATAAATTAGAAATCATTGTGATAGGATCTAGCAGAAATAATTAGATATCACTTCTAAAGTTAAGTTATGAAGTTTTATCAGGTTTTCTCCATCATATTTTCATTGCTCTGAAAACAGCCAGATGCTATAGTGTGCACTGCTCTTTGGAAAAGCACACACAGCAAAAAACTAAGAGAAGCCCATAGCCAACAACCAGCAAAAGTCAAGGCCTTCAATACCACAGCCCCAAGGAACTGAATCCTACCAAGGGATGGACTGAAGTTGAAAGCTGGTCTTTGCAAGTAGGACTTTCACCAGTCAAGCTTTCAAACGTAGGTGCAGCTCCAAATGAAAGTCTAACTGCAACCTCATATGTGACCTCAGCCACACTGCACCCACATTTTTTTTATTATTATTATAAAGGTGATGTACAGAGGAGTTAGTTTCCTAAGTCAGGTAAGGATTATCTCTCTTTTTTTTTTTTAATTGTCAGTCATGGGGCTTGAACTCTGGGCCTGAGCACTATCCCTCAGCTCTTCAGTTCAAGGCTAAAGCTCTACCACTTGAGCTACAGCGCCACTTTCGGTTTTCTGGCAGTTTATTGGAGATAAGAGTTTCAGGGACTTTCTTGCCCAGGCTGGCTTTGAACCGAGATTCTCAGATCTCAGCCTCCAGAGCTAGGATTACAGGCATGAGCCACCAGGGCCCGGCTAAGAGTGTATTTCTTTTTGAACAATAACACCCTTCCCTCACTCTCTTCCAGTTTTTCCCTCCCATCCCACCAACAAGTTGCATAGTTCATTTTGAATAGACTAGACACTTCTAGTGAATACCACTGCTGCATTTGTCCACCCTTTGTCCCTCAATTTTCTGTGCCTCCCGTTAACCTCCCAAAGACAGATAAATGAACAAACAAGACAAAAAGAAAACAAAAACCGCAACAAAGAAAAAAAAATCTCATTTCTATTTCCTGGAGTTCATTTTAATAAACAGCATTTTATATGATCAGATGTATATATAGACATTGTGCCTTTTCCTCTCCTAAGACTATCCTTGTTTGGTGTGAATGCCTAGAGTCCTGTATAATTTATTATGCTCCAGTGAATTTTAGATCTAGCTTCCACATATGAGAGAAAATATGCACCATTTGTCTCTCTGAGCTTGGCTTACCTCACTTAACATTTGTTCTAGGTCCATCCATCTCCCTGCAAATGACATAATACTATTCTACTGGCTGTGTAAAATTCTATTGTGCATAGGTACCACATTTTTTGGATACAGTCATTTACAGTAGGGCATCTAAGCTGTTTCTATAACTTGGCTGTTGTGAATAGTGCAGCAATGAACATGAATGTGCAAGTACCTGTACAGTATTCTGGCCTGTAATGTTCTGGATAGATGTCCAGGAGTGACGATTTTTAACCACAGAAACCGTGAGATAACAAATGCTTGTTAAGGGGCGGAGGTGAGGGGAGTATGGGAAGGGATGGGAAGGGGAAACAAAGAGGAGGCAACAATGCTTCATAAGAAATGTACTCGTTATCTTGCCCATGTAATTGTAACTTCTCTGTACAGTATTTTCACAATAAAAAAAGAAAAAGGAAAAAAAATGCTTGTTAAGTCCTTAAATCTGAGGTAATATGGTATGCAATGAGAAGATAACTCAGCAATTCCACTCGAATAAAACTCAACAGTCCGATGGTGCTTGAGTACTAACTTAAAATAATTGTTTGATATAAGCAAATCAAAAACATTGGAATTTGAGTGTGATCAATTACAAAGCATATTTTTAATTCAAAAGTTAAGGTTATTAAAAACTGTAGCATTGTGTCTAGCATTCTTGGCAATAAATACTATTTTCAAAACAAAAAAAAACTGTAGCATTAGTAGTGTTAAAATTCAACTGCCATAAATAACTAAAACTACAAACCCAATTAATTTTCTCTTTTTTAATAAATTTAATTTGGAAGGTAATGTATAAACAATACACTAAACGCATATTAGTGACTTAGTGTCCTTCACTTTCTACAATTTAGTAATATTTACTACTTCCTTGCCATCTCTGAGAAATACATTTTGTTTATAAGCCTCTTAACATTAATAATATATAGACTTGTATGTACTTCTTCTAGTAACACAATTGGTTCCAAGAAGCAGGAACAGTAAAATACTGAAGTATATACTTTTTTAAGTTCTAATCTTTTTATATGAAAAAGTACGTTATGGGGCTGGGAAGGTGGCTCAGTGGTAGAGCGCTTGCCTTGCATGCCTGAGGCCCTGGGTTGGATTCCTCAGCATCACATAAGCAAAAAGAAAAAAGCCGGAAGTGGCGCTGTGGCTCAAGTAGTAGAGTGCTAGCCTTGAGCTGAAGAGCTGAGGGACAGCACCCAGGCCCAGAGTTCAGCCCCACAACCGGAAATAAAAAAAAAAAAACAAATGAAAAAGGTACGTTATTAAGTAATAAAAATTATAACACCTATTCACTTAAATTGTACAATTTAAAATATTCTGTCAAGCTGGGTGCTAGTGGCTTAGGCCTATAATCCTAGCTACTCAGGAGGCTAAGATCTGAGAATTATGGTTCAAAGCCAGCCTGGGCAGAAAAGCACATGAGACTCTTATCTCCAATAAACCACTCAGAAAACCCAAAGTGGCACTGTGGCTCAAGTGGTACAGCACTCGCCTTGAGCTAAAGAGCTGAGGGACAGTGCCCAGGTCCAAAGTTCAAGCCCCACAACTGAACAAAAAAAAAAAAAAATTGTCAATGTTTCTTTCACACTTAAAAAAGAAAGAGCTGCATAAATTAAAACTTATGAAGCTGGGCTGGGAAGGTGGCTCAGTGGTAGAGTACTTGCCTTGCATGTATGAGGCCCTGAGTTCAATTCCTCAGCACCATATATGCTGAAGAAGTCGGAAGTAGTGCTGTGATTCAAGTGGTAGACCGCTGGCCTTGAGCTGAAGAGCTAAGAGACGACGCCCAGGCCCAGAGTTCAGGCCCACAACCAACAAGAACAAAAAACAAAAAAAAGTTTTAAAACTTATGAAGCTAATATGCCTTTAATAGCAATCTGTGGGGTAAATAGTATTTAAAAATTATGGGGGCTGGGAAGGTGGCTCAGTGGTAGAGCGCTTGTCTTGCATGCCTGAGCCCCTGGGTTTGATTCCTCAGCATCACATAAGCAAAAAGAAAAAAGCCGGAAGTGGCGCTGTGGCTCAAGTGGTAGAGCGCTAGCCTTGAGCTGAAGAGCTGAGGGACAGCGCCCAGGCCCAGAGTTCAGGCCCCATGACCGGACCCAAAAAAAAAATTGGAAGTAGAGCTGTGGCTCAAGTAGTAGAGCACTAGCATGGACCAAAAAAGCTCAAGGACAGTATCCAAACCCTGAGTTCATGCCCAAGAACCAGCACCAAAAATAAATAAATAAATAAATCCTTTTCATTAAAAAGTTGTTAAATTCACAGCATTACAAAAATTACAATTTGTAAGCATACCATGGACAACTCAGAATGCCCACAGTGGCATGTGTCTCTAGTACTTCATGTCTTCTTTTAAAGATATGCCCATTTGTGATAGTGACTGTGCTTTAAATGATGTTACTTAATGATGTTCTTCCAGATAGATGGTTGTGAAGCTAACAAAAAAAAAAAAGGTCTCAAGTTTAAACAAATAAGGAAACATATGCCAGTCTGTTGTACATTTTTAAAGCATTTGATAAAGTAGGAAGACATAACAGTGCCATTATATGCTACCTGTGGTTTCATAAAATTCCACCTCCCCTCTTGTCAAAAGTTTCCAGCCAGGCATCAGTGGCTCACGCCTGTAATCCTAGCTACTCAGGAGAGGCTGAGATCTGAGGATCTCAGTTCAAAGCCTGCTTAGGCAGGAAGGTCCATGAGAATTAATCACCAGAAAACCAGAAGTGGGATATGGCTTAAGTGGTAGACCACTGGCCTTGAGCTGAAGAGCTGAGAGGCAGTGCCTAGACCCAGAGTTCAAGCCCCACAACTGACCAAAAAAAAAAGTTTCCATAAACTTTTTGTATTAGCACAGACCCCACAATTGGTGGGTAATTCTCATGCATATATCTTAGTGGACAATATAATAAAAGGCAAAAATATTTACTATCCTCATTCTTAGGCTACAAATTACACAGAACTAAATACCAATTCAAAGTCCCACATTCTAAAAGAATCATGGAATTTTTTTTTGGGGGGGGGGGGTCCAGTCATGGGGCCTGAACTCTGGGCCTGGGCGCTGTCCCTCAGCTCTTCAGCTCAAGGCTAGCGCTCTACCACTTGAGCTACAGCGCCATTTCCGGCTTTTTTCTTTTTGCTTACGGTGGTGCTCAGGAATCGAACCCAGGGCCTCATGCATGCAAGGCAAGCACTCTACCACTGAACCACCTTCCCAGCCCCTCAAGGAATATTTTTAAAGTGTTTCAAAATGTGTTTCATTTTAATTTTTTCAAGTAGGTAGACACACACACACACACACAAACAGCTTTTAAGGAAAATTAGAACTGTACAAATTTTAGTGTCTTCTAAGAGTTTATGAAAGATTCTAAGTATACAGAAGTCTCACTCAATAAACTATGGCAGTGAAAAATTCCAACGTACTAGTAGTATGGGAAACCATCATTTATCAGACATGGGCGTTGAACTCTAGGCCTGGGCACTGTCCCTGAGCTCTTTAGCTCAAGGCTAGTGCTCTACCACTTGTGCCACAGTGCCACTTCCAGCCTTTTCTGTTTATGTGGTGCTGAGGAATCGAACCCAGGGCCTCATGCATGCAAGGCAAGCACTCTACCACTGAGGCACCTTTCCAGCCCCATCTGCCACTTTTATACTCGCTCATTTCATTTTAATTATCTTAAGAAGGTCTGGTTTGGGCTATTTGCTCATAACTACATTGGTGATATTAAAACCCAGTTCAGACAAATTCAAAATCCTCTTCTCTTCACTATACACTGAGTGATAAAAGACACACCTTCTTTAAATGTTTCCTGTACCAAAGTGCTTAACGTCTGGAACTACAAGAATGACAAGGCAGATATGGAGAATTTGGGGAGTTTATCAAAATCAATGACATGTCCACACATATAAATCATAATTATTACAAGTAGTGGTCACCTAATACTTTGAGTAACTAAGAAAGGCACAAATACATGTATCTCTCCACACTGTGTAGTAGGGGCAGATAACTGTTAGAAAACTTAGATTGTTTTTCCCTTTATACATACAAATGGCCTTTTGGGGCTGGAAAGGTGGTAGAGTGCTTGCCTTGCATGCATGAGGCCCTGGGTTTGATTCCTCAGCACCACATAAGCAGAAAAAGCCAGAAATGGTGCTGTGGATCAAATGATAGAGTACTAGCCTTGAGCTGAAGAGCTGAGGACAGTGCCCAGGCTCTGAGTTCAGGCCCTATGACCAGGGGAAAAAAAAGGTCTTTTGTTTATATATACAAATAAAAGAAGAAAATAGAACCTGGTGTAATATATACATATAAAAAAGGAAATAAGAGCCAGGTATGATGGTGCCCTAGGAAGAGTAAAAAGGGAGGATCACAAGCAGGAGGCCAGCCGGGGTACACAGGAGGCTTTGTCTCAAAAAGAATAAAAATAAAGAAATTAGTACAAAGAAAAAATTATGTATTTTGGCCAACTATATAGTCTCACTTTCTGTATTATTTAAAAGTATCATTGTATCTTCAGGAAAACAATATATTGTGTGTAAAAGACCATAAAAGGTGAACCAATACCTGATAACAGGTGGACCCGAGTCAAATTTATAATGATGTTCCCTGTATTATCCTTGCAACTTTTCTGAAATCTTGAAACTATTTTCAAATTACAAGCTAAAAATCAAAAATTCACACCACGCTTTCTAAAACTGACAACACATTCTTGGATTAGACAGCAATATTTTAACAGATACAAAACACTGAATTTTAAGGGAAAAAGAAAACTTTTTGTGAGGAAGTAGGTACTCTATCTATCAATGTCATCCATCACTTAGAAGTAAATTTCCTATTACACTGCTAGGTAATGAAAGGTGGTAATGGTGACTAGAACTGAAAACACACACAGTTTAACATTACTGCTTCAAAAATGTAATAGTCTTATTGCAAAATATAACAAATCTACAATTCAAGTGATTTGTGCTATCTCTGGTTCACAGTAAAATATAGATAAACTGAACAAGACAATTAAGCAGATTAAGTTTGATTTTGACAGGTTTATTTTTTTCCACTACACCTCAATGTACAATAGTATATTTTATTCATCCTAAGAAAGTAAAAATGGGGTCTGAGAAGAAGGTGGCTCAGTGGTACAGTGCTTGCCTTGCATGCATGAGGCCCTGGGTTTTGATTCCTCAGCATCATATATACAGAAAAAGCCAGAAGTGGCGCTGTGGCTCAAGTGGTAGAGTGTTAGCCTTGAGCTGAAGAACTGAGGGGCAGTGCCAAAGCTCAGAGAGTTCAAGCCCCACGAGCAACAAAAAAAGTAATACTGGGGCTGGGAATATAGCTTAGGGTAGAGTACTTGCCTAGTATGCAAGAAGCACAGAGTTCAAGTCCTCAGTATCACATAAACAGAAAAAGCAGGTGGCACTGTGGTGCAAGTGGCAGAGTGCTAACTGTGAGCAAAAGAAGCTCAGGGACAGTGCCCAGGGCCTGAGTTCAAGCCCCAGGACTGGCAAAAAGAGGGGG